TTTGAAACTTGTTTTTGCTTATAAAAATATGGCTTTAAGTGTCCTCTATACGATGGTGAAAACCGCAGGCCGCTAAGACCTTTCGTTAAAAAGTTATTTGAAAAATGGCAACCGGCACGACCTTTCCGTTTCGATAGTAGTTCGAATTATGATCACAGAAAGTGTTTTTATTTCTGAGAAGAAATTCTATCGACAAATTATCGGTGGTGTAATGGGATCAGCATATACCTTAACTTTGGCAAATATGATTATGTGGAAATGGGAAAAAAATTCGTTCGTCGACAAATAATATCAAATGGAATCTATGGTCGGTATGTTTCGTTTAGTATTTAAGGAGTATTTCTTCTATCTAATAATATCATTTTATATCCTTCATAGATATACTAATATTTTCTTTACTTCAAATAAATAATGGGACCCAATCAATCATGCGTACACCATTATTGCAGTATTTGTAGTATGAAAAGGTGTATGTACTTGGGATATGGTCATACGCTTCATAATTCACATTTCATTGTATTCTACTTTATCACAAACATGAAAGAACTACTATAAAAACCACGAATATAATGGAACAACTTTTTGGATATTTAAAAAGTTTGACTACAAATCAGAACCAAAAAATGCCAGTAACAGAGTCGAAAACTAATTATAATAATAATGTGGAAATAGTTCAGCCTAAGAGCAAGATATATGATTCTGTTTGTGTAATTTTACATGGTTATGGTTCGCTACCCCATGAAATGACATTCTGGATAATGATTATGGACGAATTATCCGTTATGTTACCAAATATGAAATTTCTTTTACCATACGCAATATTTCAAAATAAAATTCATAGCGATAACAGTGGTAAATTAGACGATAAAAGTAATGGTAATCTCAACAATGATGATTTTCCTCAATCTGAGAATGACCGTGATCGTTATTGGTTTGAGGCGAACAACAAATATCTAACTAATCCAGAAAAAATATATGAATCTAGAGACTACATAAAATCGCTCATATGCAATGAAATAGTAAATAATAAAATTGATAGTTCACGTATAGCAATTGGAGGTTTTTCTCAAGGAGGAACAGTAGCGTTATTCACAGGATTAGCTTTCGAATATAAATTAGGTTGTTTATTTGCATTGAGTCCACCTTTGCCTAGTGATACAAGAACCTTTAATAACACAATTAAAAACAGTGTTAATTTAAAAACACGTATATTTCTTGGTTATGGAGACAAAGAAGACAAAGTGCATATTGATGAAATTGAGTTAATGATTGAAGAAGTAATAAAGTTCAATTCTATCCCGCATGTATGTAAGAAGTATGATACTTTGGCTCATGTTATGTCATACGAAGAATTATTTGATGTAGCGAATTTTATTAAGAAATGTATCCCACAGTAACAATCAGTAACTGAAAACTCATTTCATGAGTTCATGAGTTGTTTCAGATGCTTGAAGTGCAACCTTGAAGGGCATACTTAGACAACATCTCCTACTCTAAAGCAGCATCTTTTGTATGACAGTGCCTTATAGTTGTTGAGCATTTCTACTGTCTTATTAGCAAAAAAGTATTGCTAATTTTTTATGGTGTCGTAAACAACGACTAAATTTTTTTTGTTGGTTTACTAACTTGAATGTTGAATTAGTTTTGTTTTCTCTGCTGTCAGAGTCTGTTGTATGAATTTTTTTTTTCAATTCATGAATAATTTACTTTATAGCCTAGATTATATCGGTAAAAGCAAATTGAATAAAAACGTCCGTCTCAAAGGTTGTGGAAAACTTCATCAATCAAATGCTCAGGAAACAGATAAAAAATATCTATCAGTGTGAGAAGCATTTTCATAGTGACAGTGACTGTAAAATGATTAATCTTGAGATGTATAAAACCCATTGGAATATTTCGAAGAAAACAGAACAAAAGTTTTTGGGAACGTTCAAGTAATCGAAAAACTTTCAAATAACTCAGCGTTGTCCATTTACTGAAAGTCTGTGGTCATATGAAAAAAATGTCGGCGTCGACTTTGGCGTCACAAAACATAAAACCATGCAGTCAGAATGTGAGATGAATAACGTCCAGGCACATTAAATTGAATTGATGATTTCTCTTTCTAGGTTTTCATAGTATCGACGGTTCCCCTCCATGAATTCTTCCCCTGTGCTTTTAAAACCATATATGAATGTTGTTTTCTCAGTGTATGTGTTTTCTTCCCTGAAGTGCAATCTAGAGCCCCAAATAACTGTACTGATGTCTCAGTTGCTAAATGCGTGGAAAGATCGGTAAGGGTGACGATCGCTTGACTTTTTCTTAGAAGCTTTCACTGGTATTCGATTGGCTCCGAGACAAGCCTTTCGTAATTCTCAGGGGGGGGGGGAGCATCCAATCTTTATAGGAAAGCATGCATCTTTTGAGAGAAGAATGCTAGAGAACTTGAGATTCTCCAGAACGATATTCAACTGGTTATGTGACATAACCACTTACGCACTTTTGTGAGCGATGAACTTACTCGTTATAGTGAACTTACGTTAAAGTCGGACAGCTTGTAGTAGATAGTACTTTCAGTACACTATCTGGAATCACCGTCAAAAGTTTGGGATACCCATGTTTGTTACGGAAAGTTTTGCGACCAAAGTCGAAGTAGATGGTCGGCGTAAACATTCACTTTGAAGGTTTTTTGTCTTAATGAAAAAACTATATATTTTTCCAACGAATGCCATTGGATAGCTCGTGAAATTCTCTACAAAGTGAACTGGTCAGAATATCTAGACAGGTGATCCAGGTGGGTCCAGGCACTAAAGATATGCAAAAGAAGGGTTGTTATGATTATGACACACTGTATTGTATATATAACACCCAAACGCTTCTTTTGCGTATCTTTACCCACCTGGATCACCTGTCTAGATATTCTGACCCGTTCACTTTGTAGAGAATTTCACGAGCTATCCAATGGCATTCGTTGGAAAAATATATAGTTTTTTCATTAAGACAAAAAACCTTCAAAGTGAATGTTTACGCCGACCATCTACTTCGACTTTGGTCGCAAAACTTTCCGTAACAAACATGGGTATCCCAAACTTTTGACGGTGATTCCAGATAGTGTACTGAAAGTACTATCTACTACAAGCTGTCCCACTTTAAATCATATGTATATATATCATGCAGTTATAGATTTGTACTTCAAAACGATTTTCAGAAGAAACAATAGTATGTCCCCTAGTTACATTCGCGCTTTATTCTTGCCGCAGCCGCGAAGTTTGCGCGTTCCGCGAAAAATTGGCGATCGCGCAGCGAAAATTTTTCCGCGTCGCACACATATTCAAACACATATTCTGATTCATCAGACGCTGCTAATCACGAATCTGACCTTATTTTTTCGATTTGACCGAGTTTTCATGCAGAAAACCTCAAAATACTGTGAAGGCGTCAAAAACCTCGAACAGAAAAATCCCGATTATCTCCTGATCTTTTCATTTTTCGATCTCACCGATGCGATTTTCGGATTCAGCATCACGAAGCACATCTAGGCACTTAATTTTGTTGACTATCATTGTTATATGGAGGTCAAACAAGACGAAAAAGTTTGCTATTATTTTAAACGTGCGATTATTTTAAACAAAGATTTATATTCTTATTCCTCAATAAAAACTATTTTTTATTCGGTTCCTATTCTTCAAAAAACAAGTATTTTCTCGCGTTGAACTATTATTATAAACTAGTTCTGTTTTTTCCTTTCACGTCTTGTAGCGAAAAGTTTATATTCGATTAGTGCTGTTCTTCTACAATTATATTGTGCTATTCAGCGTAAAGTTGATCTTGCTTATACACCATATATAATGGTTCATCATCAACTTGATCATAAACTTGAAAATTAAGTATTAGACACGCAAACTGTTAAGTTTTTTTTTGTCCCGAAGGTAGCATCGAAGTGTATATTTTTAGTATAAATAAACTCGTTTTTTTTGGGCTAGACTTATGCGCTAGATAAGTCGGTGCTGTATGTTTCGACTTTATTGACATATTGCTTTGCAGAATCTTTCCCAAATTGAAGTTTGTTTGCTCTGCTGATTTAGTATTTCATGTCTTCTATCACTATTGCCATGAATGATGCTCAATTTCATTATACGTGTCTGGTTATTATGCTATGTCCTGTCTTATGTAATATCCTTGCACATTTATGCTATTGCATTACACCGATAAATGCTTCAAAATATAGACGATATTTAACATGCTATTTGTTAACAATATGGCTGAATTTTCTAAAACAACAATCTAAGAATATCAGATTCTAAATATGAATGATCATTGACAATTTTTTAATTTTTGTTTTTCAATTTTGTTTTTACTTTAAAAAGAACCGTACTATGTCGAACACCTTAGTTCTTTTTCATCGCCTTCTTTTCACAGGGATAACTCTATCAGTTTTGTTCTAAGACGGATGAACAAGAATCTGATTACAAGGATTCGCCTGTCAGGGAGTATTTTTGTAATTGCACATGCGATTTGGACAAAACTTTCAGAAAATATTGGCTTTATCGAGGAACAGTTACTATAAAATTTTGAAAGCTTCATCTATCGGTATTTGAAGGAGGGGGCTCAGGTACTAGTCATTATACCATAGTCTGGATTGAAGAAGATTGCCTAAAAAATCTTCTTTCGAAAGCCTTACATTTAATCGAAGAAGGTCAAGACTGAGGCAGCATATATTAACGTGTCATCAGCGCACATACTCATATAACTATCTGCCGTAAGAGTATCATCTTTACCTCGATCGAACGCACATATCATCATCCGCACACCGGCTCCGGCTCCAGCTTCGACTCCGGCTCTGTTATTGATATATGTTATTGCTACTATTATTCATTTTTTCTGTACAAAATTACTCAGACAGAAAACGAGGTCAGTTTTCCTACTACTTATATTTTTTCAGTGTTAATCTCGTCCTATGAAAAATAAATTTGAAATGAAGGATAATATCGTCTTAAACAAAAAATGTTCCGAAATACTTTTTAAAAACCGGTGTGCAAGGAGATCTCTGGAAAACCGTTTCGTAACTGGAAAATTCCACATAGCAATATACTGATTTTATTTCATAAATAGATAGACTAAAGTGAAGTGCTATTCTTTCGCTTTCGTCCTTCTTCAAAAGTACGTTCGGTATTTATAGAATGAATCTATATTTCATTATTTCGCCTTGTTCAGCTAACTGTCCCCTTAGCTCATTTTCAAAAAATTATTGTAATAAAGCGGACCAAAAAATTTTTTAATATTATCTTTCTGCAATAAGATCGACAGCCATTGATATACATGATCTATATTTACATCTAGCAATGCTAAATTTTTAATATTAATAAATTTTTCAGTTAGATTTATGTCGGCCATAATATCAGGACGAGTAAAATGAATAATTAATTCTTTGACTGTCTTAAATAATTGTAATGATATTTTTTGTAGTAGTAGCACTAATCAGTTTTTGATACAGATTATATTTAAGATGTAAAGAGAAAAGATTAACTGTGTATGTTAATAAGTCATTTATAATGACTATTGAATTCATATTTTCACCAGATAATGTTAAATATTTAATATTTGAATATTGTACTATTTCTGAAAGATCTTATACACATTTTGAAATTAATTCATCGTTAAATGTTAAACAGATTATTTCCAGATTTCGAATATTTGAATATTGACCTATAAGTAAAGATATACAATATACAACAGAATCGAAGAACTAACAAGAGACAGTGTCCGTTTCTGTTGATTTAGCTCAATCATTTCGAGATCTGTTTACTTTCAGGCACTTTGTCCACCTGTTCTTCATAAGTATGCCAATGGTAACCATAGTTTTATCGATTCTAAGCAGTAACACAGAATTTACCGCTCGATCGACAACCTTCCTTTTTCCTGCTTACAGTTAGTTGTTGTTGTCACAAGATCAAATTTTAACACTAAAATAATCTATTTTTAACTTCACTTATTCGCCACAAAATTATTCAGTTGTGTTTAACATTGGTAATTCAGACCAGGCATGGGCGAGTCCGAGTCCAGCCTGAAAGATTTTTTGGCGGACTCGGACTTGGACTTGAGTTTTTGTATTTCGAGTCCGATCTGTTCAACTTTTAACACAAATGAGCGGAGAAAAATGAAAAGCGAAATAACAACACCTTCTGTTTCACATGAAATTGAAAATTTTGTTCGGGAGACGGACATTTAACGTAACCTTATTTTCGAAAAATCAAATATCTATTCAGGGCTCAGCAAACTAAAATATAAACCACCTTCATCAAAAAAGAATCTAAAGGATTACCGGACTCGAAACGGACTCGGACTCGGTGCTCCCTCGGACTCGCCCATGCCTGATTCAGACTAGCCTTTTCGTTTAGAAAGTTAAGAATAAGCAAGTTCAGTGTACATATTTTCTAAATCTATTCTAATTCGGATTAGGCATGCACCAATACCAATCATTATTGAAGATATTGTACAATAATATTGGGTTTTACGATACATTGCCTCCAACAAAGTCGTTCCGAAACAGTTATAAAAAAGTACTTAGATTGCCGAATGTCTCATTTTGTAGAAAAATGTTTGCTCTACCACACTGAAGTGCAAAAGTGTGTTATCTGTGACAGCAATATAAGTATCCAAAACTGAGCAAAATTTCATTAGCGACTGTCGTTAATTTTTCTATGATTATGGTGCGTTTTCGATTTATTGTATTTTTTTTCTCTATATATAACACTTTTGTAGCACTTCAGTTTGGTAGAGCAAATATTTTCGTACAAAATGAGACTTTCGGCAGCTCTAAGAGCTCTTTTATAACTAATTTGGAACGACTTTGTTGAATGTCCTAATATTGATTATTAATCGGTGTATGCCTAATTGAGTTATATTTTGATTAAAAACGGGATATAAAGCATGCGTCTGTACTGTAAAAGTAGGCCGAACTCAAGTGTCTCAATATCCAATAATATTGTGAAAACCCAATATATTGGATAACTAATATTATGTGTCCCAATAGATTGGGAGACCAATATTATTAGAATCCAATACATTGTATTGGTGCATGCCTAATTTGGATCTGATTTAGATTATTGATTGTAATTCTATAGAATTTATCACAATTTTTGGAATAAACTTTGCATCTTAAAAAAAGGATCGTAACTTTTTTGACTCAAATACATGGCATGATATGTGTGCCAATCAGATTTCCGCGGCTTCATAAAATTTTCTCTGATCCCATGAACTATATATGAACATCCTTTTTCTATCTCCTGACCAAGGTTTTTAATCCTTTGTCATTTGATTCTGATGTTCTGTGGATGATCATAGAACATAATCTTAAGATTATGCTCTGTATACGTTACGGGAATTCTTGTAAAAATCGGCAAAAGATGAAATAATTTTTAATAACTTCACTGTGTGTTTTGCTCAAACGACAGAAAATAATAAGCGTTTTAGGACTATTTACTGATAGCACACCTACAGATGCGAGGCGATCTGTTGTATCAGTGTGCTGAAAAACTCTAGAAATAAGCAACATTGCTGTAAAGGAGAGATTATCAGTTTCTTTTTACACTCCTAACGCCTTTTCTGTTTTGGACGTATCTATAATAATAGATATAATAGATAATAATAATTGACATCGTCTGGCAAATGTATTCAACAGTAAAAGCACTGCTTTATAATTAGGTTAAAACGCAGTTAACTGTAACTGTAAAACTGGTACAGTTGAAACTGTCACAGTTAAAAATTCTTGATAGAAGCAAACACCATTCGAACATTCGGAGTGCGTATATCGTCGGAAGATATCGCTTACGGATTCAAATATTCGAGAATCATTAGAAAAAATATGGAAGGAATGTTTGATATCAACATTAAAAACAATTGATATAACAACGATGAATGTAGATCTTATAGAATTACCGCTCATTTTTTATTTACGTCTACCATGTGCAAGAGTTGAATATGAAAATATTCGTCAAATTCGAGAATTTTTGATAGAAAAGCCTCAAGATTATAATGATATGTCTGCGGACAATAATGATAATATACTGGATAAATTCTCAACCAATCAATTAAGAAACTGATTGAACTGATCATTTCACCTTCATCGATTGAAAATGTAAAAAATATTGAACAATTGAGTACAGCTTATGGACGAATCGTTTAAGGTGCTCTTTCACTTGATAATTATTATTCTGTTGATAATCTTGAAAAATTACGTTCGTTTACTGGTCTTGTTCGTTGTATTACAACTTTACTACCGAATGATAGAGCCTTATCTGAGAATCATACGAAATGAACTTGCGTGATCTATCAAAATTTCGTGATGTATTTCGTGGTTCGATACGAAATCAGATGCATCACTATCAATATATTAATGCGACAGATAATGAAATGAAAGATGAAAATTTTGCTTTAGCCGAAAAGACAAAATTATCAATCCGTAAATTTGCTCAAGTTGTTTATGCTTGCCAATTTCAGGGTCAACATGATTTCAAACACGTTTCTCATTTAATTAATGAAAATTTTAAAATAGACAAAAATTTCGAAAAATGGGGAAACGATCGATCAACTGATACAGCAATAGTAAATGTGGTTCAATCTACATTAATACTGGAATTGAAGAGCCCAATCAACTATTATCTGGTCTTATTCATACAAAACAAACAATAGAACAACTTGAATTATTGGCTGCTGCCTGTCAATCGAAACCTGCTATTCTACTTGAAGGTGATATTTGTTCAAGAAAATCTTCTCTTGTCATAGAACTTGCTCATGTAACACGCAATCATTTGATTGTTATACCACTTCATGAAAATTTTGAAACATCAGATTTAATTGGTACATGGTTACCGTCAACAGTAGACACACGTGGTAATACATTATTTGTATATGCATCATTGAACTCAGTTCAAAAAATTTTATCATATAGTGACTTTTAGGACACCGTGTATAAGAGCTGAGCAAGAAAATAAAAAGTGTTAGCTTGCTAGTCTCTTTTGTCACAGCAGAACGTACACAAAATGTCGTTATTTATCTACAACAACACGAGATACATGCTTTCTGTACAAACAATTGATGAAAGAAACACTCTTTTTGTGATCAGCAAAGAAACACGTCCGACAAAATTAAGGTAAAATCAATCAAAGAGTGATAAAATATAGTTGCTGTGTGCTTCATATGCATATATACACGAGGCAGTTAGCAAAAATTGTTACGCTTAATAAATTAAAAGCAGGCACGCCTTCTTGCGATCAGACGCGTCCAATCTCGTGATTGGCTACTCATTCCAAACTGTATGAGAAAGTTATCCATGAAAGGATCAAAAACTGGGCGGATCAAAATCAAATAATTCTCGTAGAACAATCAGGATTTAGGAAAAGCCATCTGTTACAGACTCGAGTTTTGTCAATATATCAGGAAGTGAAGAATAACCTAGCAGCTAATATTCCTACGCTTGCGATATATGTAGATTATAAAAAAGCTTTTGATAGGGTCTGGCACA